CCTGCAGTGAGATTTTAGAAAATTTTGTTGGTTCCTCCTTCCCTGCCTTCGATTCATCTAATCCCTACGTTTGGTTTTTATAATTGGAAGCTCATTTTTCCATACGCCGTATTACTTCTGAGCCATTAATGTTCGCACATGTCACTGCCCAGCTTCCTACCCACATCGGAACTGACCTTATGGATTTGCTCGATCTGATTCCGGCTGACGCAACTTACGATAAGCTGAAACTCGCCGTTTTAAAGCGCACCACAGCGTCCGACGAAGCTAGGCTTCGGCAGTTACTTTCCGGTGCTGAAATAGGTGATCGCACGCCGTCACAAGTCCTCAGGCACACGCGTACGTTGGTCGGTTCCTCTAAGATCGATGACGCAATTCTGCGACAGCTCCGGACGAAATGTCTTCCAGCGAGCCCCTCAGCTCTTCTCGCCGTCTTCGCAGATGATTTGCCTCTGGACAAGCTGGCCGAAACAGCAGACAAAGTTCATGAGTGCTTTTATAAACACGCAGCATGTCACTCCGTTGAGTCGACCGCTAACGCCGATCTTAAGATTGACCCGATTGAAGCCATTTCGGAGAGGTTATCAAGGCTGCAGCTCGCTATTTTGAGCATTAATCGCTACAGTTGTAGTAGACCTAGACACCGCTCACGAAGTAGACGTAGTCCCGCCAGAAGTTCGAAACGTGCTTTCTGTTGGTACCATCACCGTTTTGACGATGATGCAAGCAATAGTCAACCTGGTTGTAACCATCCGAAGTCCTTCCACAAACCGCAGCCGGAAAACCTCCACGCTAGCCAGTGATGGCGACGACTGCGCCTGGCCAATCTTACAGCCGCCTACTTTACGTCTACGATTCCTCAACCAATTTGTACTTCTTGGTTGACACCGGTGCCGAGGTCAGCGTTATTCCTCGTGCTGCAGAAAAACAACCTATTTTCAATCGGACTGACATTGCAGGCGGCGAACAATACCAAGATCCATACATACGGTCAGAAAACGTTGACTCTTAACCTTGGTCTTCGTCGAAGTTTTTCCTTTGTTTTTCTCATCGCTGACGTCCAACGCCCTATCCTTGGTGTTGAGTTCCTTCCCAGGTTTGGCCTGACCGTGGACCTGCGTAAGCGTAAACTATGTGGTTATTTGACAGTGTTGTCCGTTTCGGGTAAAGTCACTTCGATCAGTTCGATCGGTCTTCACTTGGCATTGCCCGCCAACAATGTGTTCACCAAGCTATTGCTGCAGTTCCCTACACTTTGTCAATCGTCCAATGACTTTCCTGTGCCTAAGCACGAAGTTACGCACCACATCTTAACACATGAGCCACCAGTAACCGTCCGACCTCGACGATTGCCTCCAGACAAGCTCGCTACTGCCAAGGAAGAGTTCGAACATATGCTTCGTCTCTGCATCGTTCGTCCTTTCAATAGCCCATGGTCTTCCCCGCTTCATATAGTTCCCAACCAGTCCAGTGACGACTAGAGACCTTGCGGAGGTTACCGGGCACTAAACAATTCCACCGTCCCAGATAGATATCCGGTTCCACACATCCGTGATTTTTCAACTGGTTTACATGGAAGAACAATTTTCTCTAAGATTGACTTGGTGCGCGCATACTACTAAATTCCGGTTGCTCCCGACGATACTTAGAAGAACGCTATGACCACGCCACTTGATCTTTATGAATTCGTTCGCATGCCATGTGGTCTACGAAATGCCGCACAGACTTTCCAAAGATTTATCGATCAAGTCCTTAGAGGGCTCGACTTCGTCTGGGCCTACATTGACGATAGGCTTGTGGCCAATTTCAACCGTGATGAGCATCTGTCACATCTCCGATCGATCTAGGAACACTTTGTTCAGTGTGGCGTCACGATCAATGATGACAAATGTGCTTTCGGCCAAAGTTCTGTTGATTTTTTGGGCCACCGGATTGATTGCAATGGCATTAGTCCACTCCCCGAGAAAGCACAAGCGATTGCAGATTACCCCATACCTCAATCTTCCAAAAGTCTCCGTCGTTTTCTCGGCATGGTGAATTACTACAGCCGTTTCGTACCAGATTGCTCTGGGCTACTCCAGTCATTGACCGATTTACTTAAAAGCAGGTCACGAAAAACCGAGCTTACTCAGGAAGCTATCAAGGCAATCGACATGAGCAAGCACGCGTTGTCCAACGCTATCTCGCTTAGTCATTTGAGGGCCGATGTTGACGCCACTGTCATCCTCAGGACGGATGCATCTCAGATCTCCGTTGGGGCTGTTCTCCAGCAAGTAATCAACGGTCAACCTGAGCCGCTATTCTCTTTCCCTCGCAAACTCCAGCCAGAACAGACGCCATACAGCACCTTTGGTCGAGAACTTTTAGCTATCTACCTCGCTACCAAACATTTTCGGCACCTGCTTGAAAGACGGACGTTTACCATTTTTACAGACCATAAACCACTTGCCTTTGCTTTCCGTAGTTCATCCGACCATTTCTCCCCCAGAGAAATTCGTCATTTGGATTATATTTCAGTTTTCTACCGACATTCGCCATGTTGATGCTGCCAATAACGTTGTCGCCGATGCCATGTCGCGTATATGTCTTCACGATGTTTCACGGTAGAAGCTTAACTTAGAAAACATAGCAGCTCATCAGGAAGGAGATCCTGGGTTTGTGCAACTGGGATCAAATCCTTCGGTCAAAGTATCAAAGTTGCCAATCCTTAAGTCAGACGCCAAAATTTACTGTGATATTTCTACCAGCAAGCCACAGCCTTCTGTCCCCCAGCAACACCGCCGAATCCGCTTTGATCACCTGCATGGAATCTCACACCCGAGCATCCGAGCCACCGTCAAGTTAATTACGGATCGCTTTATTTGGCACGACATGCGCTCCGAGATCCAGCAGTGGGCCAAACATTGTATCACTTGCCAAACCAGCAAGATCCACCGTCACAGGATTATTGTACCCGGCACGTTTGCTCTTCCCGACGCTCGTTTCAAACATGTTCATCTTGACATTGTTGGACCCTTGCCTCCATCCAACGGTTTTGTCTACTTATTGACATGTGCTGATCGTTCTACGCGTTGGCCACTTGCCGTGCCTTTACGTGATGCTTCTACAAAAACGGTGGCGCGAACATTCATTGAGAATTGGATTTCCGTCTTTGGCACGCCAGCCACTATTACTACCGATAGGGGGTCCCATTTCAACTCGGCCTTGTTTCATGACATGAACAGTTTGCTCGGTTGTTCCCACCTACAAACAACCGCCGAGCACCCAGCTGCTAATGGCATGGTGGAACGTTTCCATCGTCAATTTAAAGCCGCTCTTACTGCTTCACCGTCGAACACACAATGGTCAGAACGTCTACCGATTATCTTGCTTGGTATTCGTAATACCATTAAAGAGATTGGCTGTTGTCCCGCTGAGTTGGTCTTTGTCACTACTCTCAGGCTTCCTGGAGAAATGGTGCTAGACTCAAGGGTTACTGAAGAAATTGATCCGGCCTCGTGCGTCACACGCCTGAGGCAGCACTTCAGTTCAATTCGTCCAACGCCACCTCGAATCAGTCCTCGGAGTCAACAGGTACACCCGGATTTGCGCACTTGCCCATCCGTTTTCGTGCGCGTCGATTCCGTCCGTAAACCACTGACATCGCCTAACGAGGGCACCTTCAAGGTTGTTGCCCGGAAAGAGTATATTGTGATGGATAAATATGGTTATAAGGATACTGTGAATATTGACCGCTTGAAGCCGGCGTACATCGAGACGCAACCGCTACCGAAACCCACTTATATTCCTGTCACCGACCAGCCTACCTTCCCAAGTAAGCCTCCTACTCAGCCCACGTGTGAAGACTCTGTTCCCTCTTTTGCACCCCAAGCATTTCATGACAAAAACTCGAAATCGCATCATCGAACACCTTCCAGGTTATGGTAAATAATACACAAGTTTCGAGCTTTCATCTCAGTGACTCACGCTCTAGGGAGGGAGTTCGCTAGCGCTTGTACATATCTCCCTTCCCAAGTGTACTTTCTCATTCTCATTTCCATCATTATTGTACAGTTATATTTTAACTGCCCAACAACCGTTATAACACTTCTTCGGGTTTCGATTCGCCTTCTGGTTTCGGCTACGCGTGTTGTGCTGTTGATCGTCGTCGGTCTGCTATCCTCGTCCATCGATCATCGGATCTAACGCGCCGACTAAGTTTCGTTTTCCGATCAGATTGTGCGACTAACTGACGGCCTACGGAAGATCGTTCTTTACCTAAGGTCAGCTCCAGCATTCTTATTTAGAGACTGAGTTCATTGGATCATTGGAGTGTAGAGAGCAGAAGGAGTCCTTTGTCAGCTCCTTCACTTCCCGATCATTGCGTGGATGCCGTGAGTCGCTACGAGACGGTATTCCACAAGGGGCCGTAACAGCTACATTGGAAGAAGCAGGGTCCCAGCTTACTCATCAAGTGAGAATCCAAAAATCGCTTGAAACATTCCTCCGACTGCGCGTCGACCACATGTTTCGGCAAGTCGTTCCAGTCATTGACAATGCGGGTTGATAGAGCGAGAGTGGAGCGAACTCTGAGTCTTCTGGGTTTATATAGTTTCCAGTTGTGCCCCCGAGTGGAACTAATAGTGTTGACTTGAAAGAACGCTTGTAGCTCCGTCCCCATTTCCCCCATCAGAATTCGCCTAGTAAAAATTAGATCACCTCTACGTCGGCGATATTCCAGGGAGAACAGGTGCATCCGCTGTAGTCGATGAGGGTAAGGCAAGTCCCTTAACTCCAGTATGGATTTCGAGGCACGCCGCTGTACCTTCTCGATCATGTTACACTCGAACCTGGTAAGAGGACAGATGGCGGGTAGTCCGTATTCAAGGATCGGGCGCACATGTGAAGTAAACAGGATTCTGAAAATTTCCGGAGTCAGTCACGAAAAGGCTCTCCGTATGGCATGGGACATCCTGGTGGCAGCAGCAACCCTCTGTAGTGTGTCTTCTGAGGTCCGTAAATCATGAGACAAGCACACCGAGATCTTTTTCAAGAATGGTGGTTCTGAGTAACACCCCACCAATATGGTATATCCCGAACGGTTCGAGGGCGCCTATGGAGAGAACTGAGCATTTTTCACAATTTATGGGCAATTGCCAGTTGGCTGACCAGTCGTGTAGAATGTCCAATGATGCCTGCAATCTGTCAGCATCCTCAAGACAGGTTACCTCCATCCACAGCTTCATATCATCGGCGTAAACCAGGCAATCCATCTGAAGCTCCGATGGGAGATCATTGATGAATATCTTGAACAGTTCTGGACCAAGTACTGACCCTTGCGGAACACCGCTAGTCATCTGCACAGGAGTGGAGTAGGCTTCATTCACCTTGACTCGCATCGTCCGGCCATTCAAAAAATCAGCGATCCAGGAAAGGACATTCCCAGAGACACCGGTACCTCGGAGTTTAAGAAGGAGCCTTTCATGGGGGACCTTGTCAAACGCCTTGCTGAAGTCTACGAAAACCATATCCAATCGTTTCCCAGCGTCTAACGACCTCGCCCAGTTTTCCCTAGCAACAAGCAAGTTCGAGGTACATGAGCGTGCCCGCCGAAAGCCATGCTGGGCACAGGAGATGATGTTAAGATTCTCGAAGTGAAGCTGCAGGGCGCGCTTGAGAATCCTTTCCACTAACTTGCACAACACAGACGTTAGGCAGATAGGTCGATAGTTTGCAGGATCTTGACGATCCCCTCCCTTGTATATAGGTTTGACGGTCCCCAATTTCCAAGCAACCGGGAGTCGTCCAGCTTCCAGAGAGTGGCGAAATATCTGACAGACGGGAACAGCAATGTAGTTAAGCCCTTTCCGTTTGGCCTTTCCACTACAAGCCGATCCAAGATATGAATCAGAGGAAATTTGACAATAGTCCATTTTCGTTTCAGGCGTTCATTCAGACACTGCTTTCCACGTTATTTCAGCTAAATAGCTCGACCAGTATGACACTCTAAAAAATCGAGTTACCGCGTAGTACTCACAGGACCTCACTCACGACCACCCTTGCGGAATCTCATGATGCAAACGTTGAGGTGTTGCATGGTGAATAGTTGATATTTATCCGGGAAAAGGTAAAAATATAATGCAAAACCACTATTTTAGCAATTATTTGATTAGCTTTGACCGTGCATTGATTTCGGTGATTCCGGAACCTTCCATTCCTTCACATGCTCGCCTGCATACGGAGTTCTGGCGGAGAGGCTACTAATTTTCAAGTTCAAGTTCAGTTGGGACCGGAACGACAGGATAAGCCCGTGAATGTTCCTTCTTTTGCGTATCGTTGGATCGGGAATTGACAGGTCTGCTTGAGATGTCGAAAAGCCTAAAACAAAGACAGCATCAAACCCTGTCCAACCAAGTACTGCCCACATTTTCCCGCCCAGCAGTCCCTGCCAGGCCGGTTTATGTGAAGTGAAAGAGTGAAGGGTAAGCTAAGAAAAGAAGAGGAGGAATGTCAGCTAAATAATGATAATACCAAGGTGAGAAGAAAGATAAAAAAGAACGAAGGGAAAGTTGAAGATACAATTCGGTTAGGAGAAGGGGAAGGTTTGGTACTGCCACCCTAGAGCACCTAACTGACGCTCGAAACCCTCTACCGTAGACTCCCTAACCACGTGCACCGGAAGCTGGTTCCAACGTTCAATTACTCGACGCGACAAGCGAGTTTCCGTCCTTACCCGGTCAGAACGCTGTTTGTGCAGCTTCAAAGGGTGACCTCGGAGACTAGGCTGCTTGGCGGGACTGAATAGCCAGGACAAGTCTGGACCAATCTTACCCGTTAAGATACGGTAAGTGAGGATTAAGTCTCCTCTAATTCTGCGGTAGTGCATTGAGTACATACCCAAGCTAAGCAAATGTTCGGGATACGTTTGCCCCCGTAATCCTTGCACTAACCTTGTACCCACTCGCAAACCCCTCTCCAGTTCCATTTTGTCCCTTACAAGACAAGGTGGACAAGCCTGGATACAGTATTCTAAGTGAGGTCGCATGAAAGCTGAGAACAGCTTCACAAAGATATTGGCCGTTAGGACACCGAAGGAGCTGCGAATAAACCACATCATACGGAACCCTCTACAAGCAGCCTTCCTCCAATTTTCCCCAGAGTGAAGCAATGAGGTATGGGTGATACCTAGATCAACCTGCTGAATGACAACATGGAGTTCACTTCCACTAAGTACATAGCGCGTGGGGACTAGCACCTCCAATGCGGAGGACAGAACATTTCGCCAGATTTATGGGCGTCAACCATAAGGTTGACCAATCCCGGAGCCTATCCAAAGCACTCTGAAGTGTCTCAGAGCCACCAGGGATATCCACAATATTCCAGAGCTTGAGGTCATCAGCAAACAATAGCGACGGTACTGCAAGCTCCTGGGGTAGGTCATTGACAAATTGCGAAAAGCAACGGCCCTAGAACCGAGCCCTGCGGAACGCCACTAAGAACAGCTTGTCTAAGCGAAAGGCTACGCCCCACGCGTACACACTGTTCTCTGCCCTCTAGGAAAGCAGAAATCCATTTAAGGGCGGCTCCAGATATCCCATACGATGTTGGACAGTATCAAAGGCTTTCGAGAAGTCAACGAAAAGCACGTCGATGGCGTGACCGTTGTCTACTGCCTCAGCCCAGCTTTCACGAGCTAAAGCAAATTTGTCAGACATTAAAATCCCTTACGGA